AGACCAGACTGCAACATCAGGACTTAGACCAGACTGCAACATCAGGACTCAGACCATAACATCTGGACTGAGACCAGACTGCAACATCTGGACTGAGACCAGACTGCAACATCAGGACTGAGACCAGATTGCAACATCTGGACTGAGACCAGACTGCAACATCTGGACTGAGACCAGACTGCAACATCAGGACTGAGACCAGACTGCAACATCAGGACTGAGACCATAACATCTGGACTGAGACCAGTCCAGGTCCTGTGACGGGTCTCTCTCACCTGTTGGGGACGGGCTTCAGGGGGACACCCCAAGTGAGACCGGAGGACGAGTTGTAGAGACACAGAGGACCCTGAACCAGACCGGTGGCGCTGACCATACAACAGGCGGCGGCAGCCAGCAGCCCCAGGCAGGAGTACAGGGCCAGACCAAACATCTGGAAATACAGGTACAACTGTTACACCTGAGAAACATCTGGAAACACATAAAAAACATTTATTACAGCTGGAGGAACATCTGGAAACAAAAGCACAAATCTATAACAACAGGTCATATTTTGGATGTAGTTCCTGGTGCGCCGGATGTTTCGTGGTTTGGACTGGATCAGTGAAACCTGAGAGCAGATGTTGGACCCAGGTTCCACCTGGTTCCGAGGTGAAGTGGGAAAGATGTTAGTGGGTCAGTCAGCTGCAGGTGTGGAGCTCACCTGAGTCCTGGAAGCAATGAAGCCTCTGGTTCTGCTGCGCTTGATGAAGGCGTTCGCTCCGAGTAAAACCTGAAACCAAACCGCTGTGAGATACAATATGGCCGCCGAGAAACAAACACACATGACCTTTCACTTTGCTATGACCTCACCAGGAAGCCGGAGGCCCACAGCCCTGTAGCCCAGGTGGCCTCTCTGGTCACATGGCCATCAAACAGGTAGTGGTACGTCATCTCTGGAAACAGCAGCAGGATGTTGGACACCATGCAGATGATCACCATGGGAACCAGAGCCACACCCACATATAACAGATACCTTGACACGCACATCTGTCAACAAAGGGTTAAAAACAATTAGTGCTGATGGATCAGAACCGATCCTGCTCTGAAGAACACGACCTCTGACGTGACAGAACAGGTTCAAGTCTTTGTTTTTTACCTGTGTGATGTCACAACTAAGCAGCCAATCACAGAAGCTCCCACATATAGAAGCTTCCTACCAGCAGAAGCCTCAAAGCAAATTCTTCTTTTGCTAAAATTTATATTTTTATTAAACTTTAAAACGCAATTTAACAAAAGCTTCAGATCAGAAAAAAATAATTAAATAATTGAAAAACATAACTGACTATTAACACTATTGGTATTTTTTAGAATCTTGACACAAATTATTTTATAATGAAGCTGGAAAAGTATTTGTTCCTGAGTTTTTCAGAAGCTCCCACTGATTTATAAAAGTTTCCACAGCAAACTCAAGGCAAATTTTAAACAAAATTCTTCTTTTGTTTAAAATTTGTATTTTTATTCAACTTTCAGAAGCAATTTTTTAAAAAAATTCCAGATCAGGAAAAACGATTACATTTTTGTGCTAAACAGCAGCAAAACATAACTGATTAACATTATTGGTAATTGTTAGGTTCTTGACAAATTATTTTATAAAGAAGCTGGAAAGTGACTTGTCCTGAATGTTTCGGTGTGAAATACTCAGTTTGAATCAGAAATCTGAGAATTATTGGAAGCTGAAATGTGTCTGTAAAAATTAATTTTGGTGCTGCAGAGGTTTCAAACTGAATCAGCATCACATGGAGTCATAAAGAAAAAAAAGCAGAACTCACCGTGAAGTCCGTCGGCCCGGTTTAGACGCTGAGCGGAACAAAGAGACTCATTTATAATCTGAGACGGCAGGACACGCCTGCTGAGTGAGGACAGGAAAGAAGACCAAGACTGGGGACAGGAAGCCAGAGCAGTGATTAGGGATGTTTCGTTAAACCAGAATAGCGGATTAAGCCGGGATTTTCCGGATAACCTGGTTTAAATAAGCCTCAATTCGGTTTCAAAAGCAGTTGCCATGGTGATTTATCCCATGCTTGCTCCGGAACAGGCTAACAGCTTTAGCTAATCTGGTTTCTACCTGTTCAGTCAACAGCCGATCAGAAACCGATGAGTTTTATCCGTGATTCCGTTTCCATATCCATCTGTGCTCGTCTCATTTATTATTGGGTGTCTTTTCTAAAATGACACAGCAAAATATAAGAGCAGTAATTTGGTTTATTTAGCATATAGAGAAAACGTGGGTTTTTCGGTCTTCAAAGCCATATTTTCATCATGTTATTCCTACGTTTATAAATGTCAAAGATTCGAACTAAATGTTTAATTTGAAATCTAAATATTAAGTTCACAAACTAAATATTTATCTTTCCAATTACATTTTTGAAACATAAATTTATGTTCATATATATTGCATATTTATAAACCTATGTATATTTTGATAGCATTCAATATTTAATTTGAAATTTAAAAATTCATTTGAAAATGTCATATTAAATATTTTGTTAGTAAGATAAATATGTAATTCCAACTAAATGTTTATGTCTGAGCTAAATATTTAGTTCCCAAACAACATATTCAGCTCCAAATTAAATATTTATTTTTCCAACTAAACATTTAATTTTTGTAACTAAATATTTATTTTTCCAATACACATATACAATATTGACTTCCACTGTTCGTTTCCAAGATTAAAGTTGCTTGTCTGAGCAAATGGGTAATGATTATGACTTTTTTAGTTAAAAAAGATTTGGAAATGTATTCTTTGCACTAATTATGCATTCAACCAATCCACTATTGTTTGCTATTGGAGCAGCAGTTCTTTTCAGTACACTGTGGTTCAATTCCTCATAATCCTTTATCAAAAGAGGTTTGTTTGAAGCATGGCGTACTGTAGCTTCGGTGAATCTGTTTTCGATCTCAGGCTGCTGAGTTGCTAATTGAGCACTCTGAAAGAGCTGAGAGGGGGAAGAGCTGCGCCTCGAAGGCGGGGCTAGGTCCACCCAGGCGCTTTGCTTGACTGAATGGTTCCCATGGAGACTGAAAGGGTTAAAGGGCTGAATCAAAGCAACACTCCACGTAAGATTTTGATGAGAGAATAACATAACATGATGGAAAGCTCAAACATAAAGCCAGCATAAACTGATGGAGATCCTGGATTTTGAATCCAACCTTTCGAGTCAAATAAAACAACATCTCATTACTGGAGGTCAGTCACAGTTCTTCTGGTCTGATCCAGGGTCAGAGGACACGGTGGACAGAACCTTGATCCGTCTCTGGAAGGACCAGCTGCTGGTCATCACTTGACCTTATTTTTCTATTTTCAGTTCTTTGAAAGCAGAACCATTTATTTTTGCTCCTGTGATTCACTGCAGGGCAGCAAAGATTCATGGGAAATGTGTTGATGTCTCATCACTGACATCATCAGGTTCTCCTCCGTGGGACCGGCTGCAGGTCCGGATCCTGGACCAGGGATCAGGGAGAACAACCCATTCTCAGGTGTGAGGGATTCCCTTCACCAAACTGGGTCCCGTTCTGTTTTCTGCTGTTCCAGAAGACAGAACCAGTCAATAAAAAATGTTGCTTAAATCTCCTGATTTAGTTTCAGTTTACAATTGGTACCCGATGTTGTCCAGCTGGTTCTGGTCCATCATAGTGGAAACGTGGACTGGTTCTGGATCTGTCCATTAGTGGACCCCTGAGACTGACTGAGAGCTGTGAGGCGCCATCTGTAAAGTTACAGTCAAAGCAATAATTTGGGTCATTTAGTTTGACATAATAGAAACAAATGGGGGTTTCATTTTCAGCCATATTTTCAACATTTCTACATTTATTAATGTCACTTTAAAACTCAATATTTAATCAGATAGATAAATATGTAAACCAACTAAGTGTAGGACAACCAACCAATATCTGGCTTGTGAATTTGTAGCTTTCTCAGAGCTAACTGAATATTTAGCTTTCTCAGAGCTAAATATTTAGTTTGGAGCTAAATATTTAGTTTGGAGCTAAACATTTAGCTTGCTCACTAAGTATTTATCGAGTTGAATATTTACCTTGCAAACATTTAGGTTGGAACTAAATATTTGGTTTCTAAGCTAAATATTTATCTCCAAACTAAATATGTAGTTTGAAGCTAACATAAATATTCAGTTTCATAAATACCTAGTGAGCAAGCTACCTAAAAGTTAAATATTTTGTTTGAAGATAAATATTTAGTTAGCCAGCTTAATATTTAGTTTCTATAATAAATATTTAGTTACTTTAAATATTGTCGCCTTGTAAAATAATGACCTGAGTCATTTTTTGACAAAAAAAAAAATTACCACCTTTTGTTGCTGAAAGATAATTCAAACTAAATATTTAGGTTGGAGCAAAATATTTTGCTACCAAACAAAATGTTCTGTTCTTTAAATACAAGTGAAGAAGTTAACTATATTTAACTCAACTATTTTTAATTGGTAAACGAAATATTGTCACATTCCTAATATAATGACCTAATTCATTTATAGACAAAAGTGATTTTGTAAATAATAAAAACGTTTTGGGAAAAGATGACCTAGATATCGAAGCTAAGAGTTTAGCCAGCTAAATAGCTTGCTAGCTAGCAAAATCGTTAGTTTCCAAAACATATTTTCTCTTATGACACAAATTATTGTTAATTTTTCAGTGTGTGGTACAAACGGCGGCTCAAACCGAAACATCAGAACCGTTCATGACTCGACCCAAAATCCCACAGACATGAGTTGAACCAGAACTCCTGAGAACCTCGAGAACTGCGTGTTTTATGGGTTCAGCTCTGACGTCAGCACGCGATTCGTCATGGTCACATGACCCTGCGCAGGGAAACAACAGAAACCACATCATGGTGACGAAACGTCCTGCGAACAGATGAGCCCCATCCTGGAAAACATGCTTACTTTGACTTTCTGAGATAAAATCTGAATTTATTCTGGGTTCTTGTTGAAATAAGAGCTGTGAAGAAGAAGCAACAGATTTCTGGTTCCATTTTGTTGTTTTCAGCTCATATCAAAAATGTTAAACACACGAAGAACATTATCAGGACTCCACTGGTTCTGCTTCAGACCTGATTTTATTATTAAACCACTGCAGCCACAGAAACACTAAAAGAAACTTTATCAGACTCCAGAAATATGTTTAAAGAAGTTTGTTTGAGGTTTTAAGCTGAGCTTGTCCATCATCATGTGACCGAGGTCAAATATGTCTTTTGCACATAATATATTTGCAGATAAATATGTACCGTTTATGTTAAATACATTCTGAGCCGCTCTGTCTGCCCAGATAATCCAGTTTCTACATTCAGAGAAGGAGCTTTTATTAGTCAAATTTTAATGTTTATCAGCCATTGGTGGTTTAGATTTTACTTTTAATGACTTCTAAAACCATTATGAGTTCTGCTGTTTTATGTGATGCCATTCTGATATTCAGAAAAAAATAAAATAAAAAAACCATCAAAAACAAACCAAATAGTTACTCAACTAAATACTTAAATTCAAACTGCATGTTTAGCGGAATAAATATTTAGTTTGTAGCTATATTTATCTCAAAAATAAAAATTTGGATAATTCATTTGATGATAAAGTTCTTCCAGCTACTTTTATAAATGGCTTCTTTCAAATCGCGTCGTGTTTTCATCTTAAAGGATGAGCCGTTTTAAAGACAACACAGACGTTTACCGAAACAGCAGAGCTGAAGTACTCAGTTTACAAGTTCTCAAGACCAGCTTTTATTTTGATAATCCACTTCCGCTTCATATTAGCTAAACATGTTTGCTCTGAGCTAGCTAAATATTTATCTAGATAATTCTGTGTCTAGCTAACTGAATATTTGGAAATAGTTAGCTTTATTAGTTTGCAGTTAAATGTCTAGCTCACTAATTAAATGTTGAACTAAACATTTAGTTCAAAGCTAAACAATTAGGTTACCAGCTAGTTTTATTTTTATCTTGTGACTGGGTAAATCGCTCAAGTGACGACTCAATACGTCGACTCAGATCTGATCTGGTTCTGACTGGTTCAGATCATCAGGAGGACGAGTTTAAAGAATCAAAAAAGGAGAAACTTAACAGAACTTTTATTTCTAATCAAACATTTTTGTATTTAAACTAAAATTTGAGAAAAAACAAAAAAACAGTTTTGATAAATGTCTGAATCCTGCAGGAACAATTCACAGCGCCCCCTGCAGGATCCAACCATGATAGTGTTGCATACAACAGCTGATGCTCCAGGTGCTAACGGCGGAGGAGCTGCAGCGCATCCCATGCTGTCATTCACTGATCTGACCAATCAGATCAATAACTGTTAGAGTTTAAGTTGCTGATTTTATCTGTGGTTAAATGTTTAGCAGATTCGGCCCATCAGTCCGACTTCCTGTGATGTGACCACCAGGGGGGGCCGTTGAGTCAGAGTGTCACATGATCGATCACATGATCACAGAAACATCAGAAAACAAACCGTGAAGAGAAAGTGATCACTGATCAGCAGGAAGTGCAGGTTACAAAACAAAATGATTTTATTTTGCGTTTCTTGTGGCAGCCGAGGCAGAGGAGCGGGAGCGAGGAAGAGTGAACATCTCGGTCAGAGTGACCTGTTTGCTTCCTCTGCTCACCACTGAGGCAGAGGAGGCCGAGCGCAGGAACGGGAAGCTGACGGAGCTGCTGATGGAGCTGCGGATGGAGTTGGTGACGGAGCTGCTGACGGAGCTGCTGATGGAGTTGGTGACGGAGCTGCTGCGCATCCGGCGTATTCTTCCTCCTGCAGGTATACGTGATGGCCCCGCCTCCTCCGTGCCACCTCTCTGGGGGCGCAGCAGGTAGGGGTCGGAGGAGCCCTTGCTCCGGTCCGTGGCTCTCCGTCGCTCCTCCTGGTCCATCTCCCTCTGGAGCAGCAGAGCCAGGTGGAGGTCGTCCTCCTCCTGCTGCTGCCTCACCTGAAGCTCCGCCTCCCAGTTCGGCAGCGGCTGCTCCTCTCCAGGCGGGGAGCACACCTGGACTCGCTTGGAGGTCACCTCCTCCTCCTCCATTGGGTCTAGCTCCGAGCTCTTCCTCTTCGATGGTAC